TGCCGCAAAAAGTCCCTGCCCTGCCCGACGTGCACCCAGGGACCGGCCAGAGCAGAGCAGAGCCTGACTGAGCTTCTCCTTCCCTTTGCAACACGGCTGCCGAGTCATCCAGCGGTGGGAAGACGTACTAACCGCCCCTGAAGGCCAACAGAGCACGGCTTTGGGCATGTCAGCTTCTGTCCGAGGCTGGCATCTACCTTAGCGAGGGTGTTTACGTGTTGCAATCAGAGTAATTATGCAGAGAAACCTCGGTAAACACAAAATCAACCAGCTTTCAGCCCCAGTCTCTCTCTAGGTGACCTTCCCCGGCCTCGCTGATATCTTTAGATTCTCACGACTGCTGATGCTACTAAAAAGAGCCTCTAAAACAGCAAAGAGTTTTATTTAATCATCATTGAAGAGGGAAAAAAAAAAAAAACCAACTACCTGAGAGCGTCCTAGTTTCGCCAGCCGATAATTGGCAACACTGAAGGAAATTCCAAGCTTCTGGCAGGACCCAGCTGCTCTACTTTTCAGGCCAGTTCGCTTAACTACGCTGAAAGCTCACCACCAGCAGAGCCTACCCTGCTGTCAGAAACCACAGCGGGCGCAACCCAGTAAAGAAACTGGTTTGCACGGCAATTCCCTGCTGCCCCAGTAAGCAGGGAACGAGCGCAAGTCTCTACAAGATGCCAAACCACAGGGTTTGCTCTTGGTCGTGCAGCTCCATGGGCCAGAGCCCACAGTGGCCTCCATCTAGAAGGGAATAGTAATAAACCAGTTTGGGGAAGACAAAAGGTGGGTGGGAGGTTGAATTTTCCACCCAACTCTGTACTGGGAGGCAATGGTCATTTCTACGAACAAAACCAGCCAGGGGGTTCATGTGGCATCGAGCTGAAGGCCAGGTCCCAGCTAGAGCCTCCTGTCGAGAGCAAACACCCCTGCACCTTCCTTCCTCTCCAAGAAGACCAGAAGGAAAATCCCATCGCAATGTTCCTCAGAAGGACGGAGAAAAACGCGCACCAGCTGCCTCCTGCCTGCAAAGCCGGAGGAACGGCCAGCCAGGAGCAGGCAGCAGGGAAACGGATATCCCGGCACGGATGGAGACGGTGTAGAGCGGCTGGCGGCAAACAATGAAAGTCAAATTGAGGGGAAGGGGTTCGCTCATCTGCCCCACCGTGCCAGGAGAGGTGATATCCGGCTATACAAGAGTCTTTAAAACACTTTTTCAAACTCAAGTCGTTAACTGGGCCTCCCCAGGGCATCCTGGAAGCGGCAGACTGGAAGGAAGTTTCCTTAAATATCCCTTATTAAATCCTTCAGCGCGTGGGGGAGAGGGACGGCAGGAAGACGGGGTGGAAGGAAGGATGGAGGACCGTGGGGCACAGAAGCACGACGAGCCCCACGGTAGCCACGAGGAAGGCTCCGTTCTCCCCTCACCTCTCTCCTTCCTGGCAGAGATGGCTTTGACAAAAGCCACATCTCTACATTCCTGGTGGCTTTGCAGGGCAGTCCCGGGGCTAAAGCTGCGGTTTGTACCTCGGACTGCGAGAGCCTGTAATTGCAAAGCGTCAGGTTGACCTCAGCACCTGAAAAACGCTCTGATTAATGCGACTGTCACACAGACTCCGAGCACGGCCGGACAGCTCTTCCCGCCCTCACACGCGCCGGACTTCCTCCGACTGCATCCTCTGACGCCAGAACCGGCAGCTTCCCCCACCAGAAAACAAAACCAAACCACCACCCGGCTCTTTAATTTGCTCAACACACACAAACGTATTCCGTGGAACCCTTCAAACCCTGCCACCGTGACACCCCTCCCTA